GATGAACTTCATTTATTGTTTAAATTCAGTGTTGTATGTTCAGACATTGAAATCACAAGTATTTAAGTGTTTTTAATAATCAAAAACTTTAAAAGATATTGCAATAAAAGCACTTTATAACTAYTTTTTCTACTTCCACAGTGAACTGTTTGTTTCTGAGTTCTCTGTGACATGAATTATGATTTATGTCTTCTCGAATGGGTGTTAAATATAATTTCATTGTGCTCTGTACAATGACAATAAAGGCATAATCAATCAATCAATCAATCAATCAATCAACCAATCAATCAGTTAATCAATCAATCAATCAATCAATCAATCAATCAATCAATCAATCAATCAATCAATCTGTTTTTACTGATGAGTAGTTTGTCTCAGTGTCAGAGCAGCACGCAGCTCTTCTTGTCTTTGAAAGGGTTGGACGAGGCAGAGATGCCAGTGATCAGCGGGTCGCTGCGCCTGTGCTCCTGACAGTACTGCACCAAGTCTGCTGCTGTCAAGGAAATCTACCCAAACAAAACACAGTTTTATGAGAGAAAAAAAGCTTTATTTTATATACATTTCCACATTCATTTTTGTTGCTACAGCAGTGAAATACTTTACATACCTTGAACCTCTCCATGCTCGCTTCAATTTTCAGCTGTTCCACCAATTTTTGTGCCTGAATAATACTGTTGCTGCTGCTGCACATCTTCCCTGACATCACCTCAAATAAAACACAGAACAAACTGATGAAAATAAACTTCAATGCCAAAACCTGCCTCAGGGAAAGAATTAGAGAGCAAGTGTTTTACCTGGTCCAGAGAGTCGGCTCAGGCTGTGCAGGACAGTCTGCTCAGAAAGGGCTCCGGACTTTGGATTTTGACAAGAGCCTCCCTTTTTATCCACTGTTGGGGAGCATTTCAAAGGCTGTGTGAGAGGAAAGGTCATGGTTGGAAATGTCACAAACATCACACATCACTTCACAGCCTCTGATGATGAAAAGGCATTATTCTGAATGATCTCCAGGTTGGCTGTGTGTGAAGAAGCGTTCATTTGACTGTGACCTCTGAACCTGCAGGTTGACGTTTCCCACACAACTCAATCATTTTTTTAAACTGAACAAACTTTTCTCTGTTTTGTTTTTCAGAAAAGACCTTCTCATGTTAAAGACACCTGTGTGTGTGTGTGTGTGTGTGTGTGTGTGTGTGTGTGTGTGTGTGTGTGTGTGTGTGTGTGTG